TATTTTTTACGTTTGGATGATATGTTTTTCAACAAACAATCGGCATTCCCGTAGAAACCAACTGTCCTCCTCTTCTTGCCGACTTGTTCCTTTATTTATATGAGGCTGAATTCATACGAGCTCTTCTTAGGGAGAGCATGGTCCTTTAACTGTAATTTCCGCTCTAAAAATGATCTCATCTCACTAAATAATTTAAAAGTTTTGTGACTATGTTGAACCAACTATCCCATCGAACTTGAAATAAAGGATACAACAAATGCAGTCTGCCTCATATCTTGACTAACATCTAGACAGTGACAATGAGGGTCGGTTGTGAACAAAACTTTACGACAAAAGAGATGAATTCAGCTTTCTAATTCTGAAATTTCCATTTTTATGTACCAACATTCCAGCAGCGCCAGCATATGGAGTATAAATGTTTATCTTCCAGTTGATACGATATTCCAGAGCTTGCATTTCCCTTCACGATTTCCTTGACAGAGGGTTGCTGCTTACAGGGAAGCTGTTAAACCAGGTGCTCCAAGTGGTGAAGTTGAAATCATTCCGTCGAAAATTTTATGGACGCCATCACGAGTTCGTTGACCGTTATGGAATATCTGTTTCACAGATGACGACGGATATGTCAAATATTTGTCCTAACCACAATCTCGTCCTCTTTTCTTCAAGTGTGACCTACCGAATTAGACTGATCACTAGGTTTGTACTTACATGAGCAACACGACGGTTGCCACATGTGGAGCAGGATCTGCTTACCTTCCCGGAGCACTTGAGATCAGCCCCGGTTTTTGGTGGGTTCGTGTTGCTCAGTTTTGAATTTTCTATGTTGTGTTTTGTGGATTGTTGTTTGTCTCTTCGTCGTTTTATATTCTTTGCCATGGCATTGTCAGTTTATTTTCGATTTATGAGTTGGAATATCGCTTTGGTATCTCTGACATCTATATTACGTTTTAAATAAAATTTATTTGGTGAGCATACATTTGGCAGCTCAGGTCGCTTTATGTAAATTTTATGGTCAGTTCTCTTTTAATCAATCGTTTCAGTAATGACTTTTTGTTGTTGTTTTTTATCGTTTATAGTTACATAATATCAACTAATATGCCGAATTTTAATTGGGTTCTTGTGGCTCATTCATTGGTTTTCAGTGTATTTCGTTTTTGTCATGGTATTGTCGGTTTATTTTCGACTTTTGATTCTGGCTTATTCCTTTCACTTTGGTTTCTTCTGCTTCTTTTTCCCCTTCTCAAATACAGCAATTTCTGTATGTATTCATAAATCACGTTTTTGGTAAATGAGATAATTATGTGACAATGGTACTAATCATAATTCAATATGTGTGTGAAAAGGTACATAATACTTTACTATTGCCTAACATAAAGGTGAACTACACAATCATTTCAAAAATCAAACGTTTAAAGGGGCACTAGCTACGAGATATATAAAAAATCTAAAGTATGATTTGTTTTTTTGTTCAATCATTAATGAAAGTGAAATGGTGAAATAATAATTTGCATTTAGCAGCCAGTATGGTTCAATTTTGTCAAAATAAGCTAAGAAACGTTCATGACGAATTATTCACTTGTAAGTGAATAATTCGACCTCATTGAATCCGTATTCATGTGAACTTCAGTTTAACCCCTTAGCTAGAGATAGATAACGCATGCATTGTGCGTGTTAAGTTATGTAAAGGGAAAGAATGTTAACATTGAAAGTGAAACAAATGTAAATCATTTGATTTACTGATTTGATCCACAAAAAATCATTCTTACACAGGTAAAAACGATGATTAACATATATTTTTAATCTATAATATGAAATTAAACAGACCCAGAAAAATCCAATCACACGAGTTCACTTTCTTTTTATATCTATATTTATGTTTATATCGCATATATGACCATCGGAGGTACGGAGGTCAACTCGATAGTTAATTAGATGGCGTCAAGACTAAAATACACAAGAAACGAAGCTACATATTATCGAGCCCATGCCCTGTAAATTGTGTATTTTAGACTATTTATAATTTGGATAAATGTTTTACATGGTTATAAATCAAATATGACAATTTGAGTCAAATCGGTGAACATGAATTTGACAGCTAGTGCCCCTTTAAAATGACAAAAACATTCAGTCAGTTTGATTTATTTCTAGACACTAAATAAATAACGATTTCCAAATATTATTCACTACAAATTTTAAACCAACGAAAAACTAGAGGCCAGTAGTTGTACAATTCGAAGAAAGCGTTTCACAATTGTGATAAACATCGTTATTCAAATTATTTATTTAGATTTTAACATATCTTATCGCCATTAAGAGATCTTCGACACTTGAGCTATTGGCGTCATAGAACCATAACTTTTTCTTTTTGGCGTCAGACAATTTTCTCTGGTGACGTCAGAGTTTTACGAGAACGTGTGTCATGTCCAGCAATGGCGGACAAATACGATGCATAATATAATTTTGCAATTCATTAATCTCTTATTCTTAATAAATAGATTGTATAATCCGACTTTATTGTCAGAGAGATATGTAACACACAAGTTATCGTGAAAGTTTCATGTTAACCTTAGTATTGACACGATATGATTAAATTCACAGTTACTGTAGGAAATTAGATAAGTTTTCGTTAGTTTTTTTCAAAAAAAAAAATGGTAGCAGCTAATTCATAATAGAAAATATCTTTCTTGCATATAAATTACCGTACATGTACGCTTTGTTTTATCTTGATAATAACCGATTTATAAATGTTGCGGGTTACAAATTTGAGATTCTACGACCAAACAAAAAGTCTGAAATGTCGAAAGTTGTACTATACTGAATTCTCCATTATCAATCTGGATAATTATGAAATAAACTGGGTTTATCATGTCAATTCTGTAGTTTTGCCGTCGACTATACTGAAAATTTGTTGGACCAATATATGTATTATTTCTTTGATATACCTTTAAACCTGTTGATTTTGGTTTTAAATAAACTTGACTGAAAAGTAAAATCACAAAAATACTGAACCCCGAGGAAAATTCAAAAAGGAAAATCCCTAATCAAATGACAAAATCAAAAGCTCAAATACATCAAACGAATGGATAATGGATAACAACTGTCATATTCCTGACTTGTTACAGGCATTTTCTTATGTAGAAAATGGTGGATTGAACCTGGTTTTATAGCTAGCTAAACCTCTCACTTGTATGACATTCGCATCAAATTCCATTATATTGACAACGATGCTGTTTTGTAATGTCTTTACATTGTAACAACCGGACTAAAAAAATACTGATAAAAGTATCGTTTATCAGACTCAAATACTTGGTTTGACGACTGTTCGGCACACTTATGATTACAGTTGAGACATATTTTAAGATATTATTTAATTCTATTTTTACCTCTATTTTGCGGTAAAAGGACAGAACGTCAAATGACAAAAAGTTACATGACAAAAGTCCTAGACCAAACGTCACAATTAATTAGTTTACAATCGTTTTAATGTAGATGATAATTCTTAAAACAATTTCATTTTAAAATATGAATTAATTTTGCATTTTAAGATATTTTGCTATAAGCATCGTCAAGTGATGAGTTAACCAAGTTAAAGCATACCAAGGGTACATGTATTGTCACCATGTCAATTATGTAGCAATTATCACAGGTTGTTTTCAATCGTGAAGAATTTAGCACAACCAGGAATTCCTACCATATTGAATATAACAGCAATTATATTATATTAATAGTTATCTACAAAGGCACAGACATCTCTATTTCTCAAGTATTTGGTCAAATAAGGATACACCAGAAATAGGGTTTTACTTCTTTAAAGTGATTTGTATTCAAGAACAGTGGCAAATATAACATGCATTTTCAGAACGTTAACAAATAAACTTGATGAATACCAGAACTTTGAATAGCCTCCGGACAAGGGAGTATGACATGACACCTTCGGACCCCTCAAAGAGTTGTTTGAAGGTTTTTTTTTACGTTCATACAACGTGGCACACATATTTCAACTGGACGTATTTGCGTATTTATATATCCCGCACTCTTAGAAAAATGTTTTGTTAAAAAAAAAGATGTGGTATTTTTGCCAATGAGAAAACTCTCCACCAGAAACAAAATGACGTAGAAGTTTTAAAACAACTTCTGACACATGCACATATAATATGGAAAATTGCCAGTATGGTAGAACTTTGAACGGACTAATCGTTGTAAAGCAACGCGTTCGGGTCATTTGGGAATTTTTAAAAACATACAGCTAAGGAAACATTGGATTGAAAAAATACTCTTTTATGGTGAAGCCCATGACGATCTACAATTCTGTGTTACCAATGCAAATGTTCATTCTACGAAAAGCAATAGGGATCAACTCATCAATTAAGGATTAAAACTTATTACTATGGATTTCTAACATTGTCACTTTCTAACATGGGAATCAAACTCATTAAATCAAGCGTAATTAACACTTTGATTGGCATCCTAAACTGGATTTAATGATATTATGTCACCCGACCTGACATATTGACATTTTTAGATTGTTGAATTAAGCATTTTAGATATTATTAAAAGAAGATGCATTTTATATGATTAGAATTCCAATCGATCAGAAACGCAATAGGATCCTTGTTATTGACTGCCTACGTATGCTATTATCTGGGGTTTTCTAATCTAATTAGGTATTATCACTTTCCAACTAGTTTTTAAGTATCATCACCTACGATTTAAGCATTCATTATTACCATGTACCCTTTTAACCTTTCGTCTTATTGGATTTATTTTAACCATTCTAATTTGATATAACATTGACTTTGACAAATAATGAAACACGAGAGGTCTTCCCTGTTTGAAATACAATTAAGATTCTTTTTCTTTGTCTAATTCTACATTTATCATAAAATAAAACTTCTTTCTATAGTACACACTAAAAGTATTAACAAATCTACAGAACATTCTGAAAGTCCACTTATTCGAAGTACACTGCTAATCAATTAAATGATTCACATATATACAGTTCATGCTGAGTAAACATTCAAAAGAGGATCATAAAAACTAAAATATAACAAACAGTATATTGTTGTTAATAATAGACCCGGGGTTCGGCTGATGAAAAGATACTACAGCTTATATTTTTTTTTAAACTGGCAAGTTAAGGACAGTTCAAAACTAAGATGAAAGACTTCTGTATTTTTTTTTTAGATATCCTTTTGTCAGTTCATTGTCTTGAGCAGTAACATAGCATGTGCCCTTAGCGTAGTTTGAATCAATGCCATGTGATCATCGATAACCGATCGGTACTTGTGTCGCTGCTAAATAATACTTCACGAGGCGATAATTATACGTTTAATAACAAGTGAAAATTAGTTATCGCTTGATATAAACTCCAGTTATTCAATTTCAATATACTAATAAACGAACCTGTGGCGAGCTTATTATTATTATTATTATTATCATTATTATTATTATTATTAATATTATTAAAATCAAATAATGAGAGTCGATATCAATTGATATCTAGTTCTGACGAGTAATTGTTTTTTCTAATGCAAAACCAATCACCTTTGTGAAGAAAAAGAATATTTCGCGGAACTTATATCTTCATTGTATTTCATTTTAATTTTCATTGTTTGTGACGTTTACGACCAATCACAACGTTTTGTTGTACACTTTTGAAAATTCTACCCAGAAAGCATTAGATTCTAAAACGGCTAGTTATGTATACTTTGTCTAAAACTGAACATCCAAACTTGTTTTCTTAATTTTGCAATAAAGCTCGAGTTGCTTTGCTCATCTTTGGCAGCCTTTTTGCAACTGTAATAAAGATTAAGGCGAATCTCTCCTGCAACAAAGAAAACCAGTATTAATATGAATTATGTTTCACCAACAAGTATTTCAAGGAAAATAACATTGTTTCCTAATTAACACCAAATGATATTTTATTTTCTTCAATTAAGCATTATACTCTGTTATTAAAGGGGCATTAGCTGTCAAATTCATGTTCAGCGATTGGACTCAAATTCTCATATTTGATTTATAACATACTAAACGTATATCCAAATTACAATAAGTCTGAAGTAAACAGTTAACAATGCATTTACTCGATAATATATATCAGCATGTCGTGTGTACTTTAGTCTAGACGCCATCTTATTAACCATCGAAGACTGCCGACAGTCACATAACTTGATATAAACATAAACATAAATATAAATAGATAGCGCCCTCGTGCAATTGGACTTTTCTAGGTCTGTTTGACTTCATGTTATAGGTTAAAAAATTAAGTTAATCATCGATTTTACCTGTATAAGAATGATTTTTTTGTGGATCAAATCAATCAACGAAATGGTTCACCTTTGTATCACTTTCAATGTTGACATTCCTTTTAATGGCTGAACACGACTTATACATGCGTTACCAATCTCTAGCTAATGGGTTAAATTGAAAGTCACATGAATACGGATTCAATGAGGTCGAAATATTCACTTACAAGTGAATAATTCATCAGCGACGTTACTTTGCTGATGTTGACACAATTGAACCACATTGGCAGCTCAAAACGAATTATTATTTTTTTATTTCACTTTTATTAATGATTGAACAAAAAAAAATCTTATTATAATTTTTTCATATCTCGTAGCTAATGCCCCTTTAACCAGAGACCAGGTCTTACATAAACCTATTATTCTTGTAACACTATACTAAAATATTATTAACTGGCTGTTTATGTCCTGTTATAGATTCGATGTTATCCAATACAGCTGACCGAGAATCTATTACAGGGCCAATACAACTGACCGAGAATCTATTACAGGACCAATACAGAAACAACCAGTTCATAAAATATTTATTAAATGATTGTAATTCTCCCATTAAACTAAAAAACTTACCGTTAAGAAGATTTAGGAATTCATTTTGAGCTTGTCTTTTTGCAATCATTTTGTTGACATGTTAAAATCTGAAACCGGAAGGGACCGGGCCGAAAAGCAATATTAACTCATGATATTTAGCATCAACAGGGCGACGTCATCAGGATTGTACATGCCGATTTCTCCGTTTTAGGACTGATTAGCTCATATCATTTAATAATTAGGCATATAACTTTATACATAAATAATATTTTAAATTTTCTGAAATATCTGTATCCATACTCTACTAAAAAGTAATAAACCATATTGAAATTAGTCATACATGTAAAGAGGCAGTTTAATTATTATCGCCACTTTTGATTTAGTGTTAAACTGATTACCAAACATGACAACATTCGTGGCAATTATCGTATTTCTTTATGTTTTGCTTTCATTAAGTACTATTTGGCCTTGTTGAAAAGAATCCTCAGATAATAGTGGTAAGCTTCCGTTTTTGGAATCACAATCTACTTTATTGAAGCTTTCTTTTGTGATTTGGTATGATGTTCGTTTTCCTCTAGAACATTCAGTAAAGCGCTGTTTTCATTGTTCATTTGATTATTTGTCTCTTCGTCATTCTTGCTTAGTTGTTTGTCTAATTCATTATCAACACATACAGTCTTAGTATATATCGTTTCTTTCGTATCATACATCTGGAAAAAAAACCATTTGATTTGAGATACCATATTTTATATTGCTTTTTTCTAGTGATTTGTAGCGTTGTTCGTGTGTTTTTTTATTGAAGGTGATCTCGCTTCTTTTTAATAAAAGTTAGCTATCTAGTCTATGAAAAAAAATAGAATTCCAAACATAAGATTTAACAATTATAGAATACATGTAACTAATCGAAGAATTAAAATATAGAATAATATTCAACAAGTGACCGAACAACACATTAATTCACATTAATTCATGAATGCGCGTAGCGAATGAGTTAATTATCAGTGTTGTTCGGTCAAGTTGAATATTTGAATTCTGCGATTAGTTATTCTTTTTATCACATTGATTCAGATTATCTGGAAGGTAAGTAGTTCCTGTTCTAATAGTGACATCCGTTGCTCTGATTATGGGAGGTTATTGTCCAGTGATATTTGTATTCGTTTATTACTGCTTATAGGAGGACTAAATTGTGCCTAATGTAATTAGAACATAGCCATGGTTATCGGTAACACAGGTTTTTTTTTATTATGGTCAATCTTTCATTACAAGACTGCAAGCTGCCGAAAAAACTTAATAATATATGAAAGCAATATTCCAGTTTCTTACCTCTGGCTTTTTATAATTATAACCTAATTTCATAACATTCTTTACAGACTCTGGTAAGAAGAAAAAGAGTTCATCTACGATCGATATTAAATATATTGGATTGGACTCTTCTGGTTTTGTATAACCTGAAATTAAAAAAAAAAAGATAAATATAACTCACAGAGAACAATTTCAAAATTTTAAAATAGCCTCAGTTTAGAAATCTTGTAATGTTATGTCTTGAGCTCAATCCTTTTTAAAAAGATTTATTTTTAAACATGAAAATGACATGTTAAGTTACAAATAAGTATTATCATTAGTCATATTTTATTTTGTCATGTTATAAGTTTCAGAATATAGACCGAGGCAATACGTAGTTGGGTATACATTAATTATCTAGAAATAAAAGGACCCCTTTCAAAGGCTGTTAAGAGTTTTGACTAGTTTTTTATAGAATGAAAGCGTGACTCAATTTTTGTTTTGCTAAATACTGTAACAAAAAAAAAAAAAGTCACGCAAAAGATATCTATCTTAACTCGTAATTGAATGGGGGCTTGACTCTTTAATATCAGGATTATTGGTAAGACATTGGCCATACAAAAGAGAGTGAAGATACACAGGGGCAATTACAAATGAAAATTCTAAGAAAGAAACACGAACATACGAAAAACGGTCAACACAAAATAGACTAGGGAAAAATAAGACCAATTGTTGGACCTGTCGTTCTTCTCATTAGAACGAATAAACCAGTAAAAATTCAATTTCAGTGATATTAAATTCGAGGAAGTGACAGTACTGCTAAATCCCATTAAAAAAAAACAGCAGAACAAAATTTTATGTTTAATTTGCTGTGGGCTGAAAAACCAGAGAGGTGCAAAGTTCTTTAACGATCTTTATTTATAAAGAATGATTGGTGAAATTGCTTCTTACTGATTCGTTGCAATCGAAATGTCTTAGTCTATTAAACTAATGTTTCAATTAAAATGAAACATTTTCCTTGGAAGTGTTTACTATTTAGTAATGTTAAAAGGAAGTTCATGTTGATAAAAAAGTTTTATATTTAAAATGTGAATCAGGGATTATTTCTGGTTGATATTGTCTACAAAGACAAACCATTATATCAGAATCAATAAAGTGAAAAGAAAGTAGTATTGTTTCTCAGTTGTTTTAGTATTTTTTGATATAGTATATGAAATATCAGTTGCATAAACATAGAAAGTTTAACAGAATGGCTAATGCGAAATCTGTAAAATAACAGGATTGTGATTAAAGTTTACAAATTGTATGTAGACTGTATATGAGAAACACTATTTAAGGTACACAAACAATGTCTGGAAATGTAGGAGTGGGCGAGAAGTGCCATCATATTCACTTACCATTACTAAAACGTAAACTTCAACAGAACCTTGTTACAATATTGAAGTATGAACTAGACAACAGAATTATGTACTTTGCGTACAGAAGTTGCAGGAAGTACATTTACATCTTTAGGAATATAATATACATTTATGATTTAAAAATATTCCACAAAGTTTAAGATACAATGGTGACACACGAACTCAAATAAAAAATGACAAATAAATTGTCGAAATGAGCATCTCGTGCAGTTAAATATGTAATTTCAATAATTATACGGAGTGCTTGCTATTAAGTCCTTCTTGTGGGAACTCAACGAAATGGATAAGATGTTTAAAGGACAATAAGATAGCCTATGTTGATGTATATTTATTTTTAATCAAGAACAATTTAGTTTTAGATACATAATTTTTTTAATAGTTGTTATTGGCTTTGAAATAACTGCGAGTCAGATCTGTACTTTGTGTCTTTAGTGTTTTTGTTAGTTAATTTTTTCCTTGTAGCGATCTTATGAATCAAGCCTATTTGCAACTGATTTTTATAGTTTGTTCATATGTTTATCTGTTACACCACTGTCCCACAACCATGTTTCACCCCGGCATATTCTATATGTTCCTGTCTAAATTCAGAAGCCTGGGATTGAGTTGTTGTCAGTTGTTGCTATTTATCACTTTTGTTTTTCGTTTATTGTTTTGCATTGTTTGTTCTTGATCTCGATGTGTTAAGCCCTTTTCAACTGATTTTTATAGTTTGTTCCCATGTTGTCTCAAGTCAGGTGCTTGTAATTCAGATGTTGCAGTTTGTGTACTTTCACTTTTTGAATTTACCTTGCAGTTCAATATTTTTGTTATACTTGTTTGTTGCTGGATAATCATAGTTGTTTTTCGTTTGATGCTTTTAATGCTTTGTAAATCAATCAGAAATGAATTAGAAATGAGTTGATCGCATATTTCAATCAAACAGACTTCTTATAACTGGCAAACCATAGAATAAACGTGTAATGTAAATTGCAAAATATATTATGGTGGGTTTCTTTACATTATGTTCCCAATGTTGTCATTTTGTTAAAGGAAACGGATTTATACAAGTTCTTCTTGTTTCTGAATCCCTGTGTTTCTATTGTTTAAATGTAATGTGTGCACTTTTGAATAATTACATATTGTTTAAACAAAGCAGGCCGTTAGTTTTCTCGTTTGAAATTTGTACATGTCAATTCGGGGCCTTTTATGGCTTTCTATGCGGTATGGGTTTTGTTCCATATTGAATGTCGCGCGGTGACCTTTATGCGTTAACCTCTTTATAATTTGGTCTTTAGTGGAGAAATATCTCATTTAAAATTATACCACATCCTCTTATTATTATAACACCATTGATGTTTGCCTCTTGTAAATACACCCTTAATTATGTTGTAATTTATCAGAGGAGTTTTACCTGTCAGAAAACTAAAAATGCTGCCAACAATCATCACAGCAAATATACCAATCACACCGAACCATGGATAGGCAATGGAATAAAAATAATCTATACCACTCCTGAAACAAGACAAACAAAGCTTTTAATCTCTACAAAAAAGAAAATTACCATCGATCACGGATATTTAATGAAATGAAAATAAGCTATGCCACTCCCGAAAGAAAATATTAGTACTAAGGCTTCTTGTATTACAGCAAATATATCAATTAGAAAGTATAATATGCGATGAATCAATCTAAACTATTATTTGCGACTTATTAATTTACGATCTTTCTTACTTATACAGCTTTATAAAAATATTATATGGACTGAACTGTGCAGATAAAATTATTTATTAGTATATTGCTTAGGTTAATAAAAAGGAGTAGATAAATGATTGTGACAGTAGTGATGATATTGTAAATATAGTCTTGAGTATAAGTACCAACCATAACTGTTATACAATGAAAAAATATATACTAACGGTATTTTGTCAACTATCGGAGATTCTGTGGTAAAAACAGTGGAGTGGTACTCATATGTTGAAGTCGACATCTGTGTTGAAACATTGTACAGTGTTGTTATGTTTGTAAAAGGTACATAACACTTGTCAATAGGAGCTGACGGTAATGGTACAGCTTTTCGAACGTTTGGTGATGTGTACTGTCCTGTTGTTATCCACGTAATCAATATAATTCCCGAAATTGTTCCGATAAATGCCCCCTGTGATAAATTGGTAACACGAATATCATAAATCATCAAATAAGTCTTCATGGCATTTGATCATTCAAAAAATATTGAATCATAAGTCGGGTGCTTTGATAGAAATATGATTCAAAATTGTTGTCACAGGGTGCTTATATATTTTCCATTTAAAGTTCTATCTCAGTTAAAAATCTAAGTGTTATCATTGATCTTTCATTTAGTACAAGGAACATTATAAGTAGTTTTTTTCGGGCAAGATTATTGTATATATTTATAGTATCACCTTTAATGCGAAAGCAGGTTTACCTCTTCTTATCAATTTGCATATTGATAGAGAGGTGCAAAGTTATTCTATAGCAAAATTATATCTTGAATTATCAAAAAGATAACAAAATGAACAATGTAAGGCTTTTTGCATACACCATTGATAAACAGGAAATAATTTTTATAAAACCATCCTGAAATTTCACCCTTTTTTTCTCTCCTACCTTTAACTTGTATTTAAAGTTTAACGTACTGGAATGTGTTGTGCAAGACAATAAAATCATTAACAATACAGGTAACAGAATTATATGATTTGGTTTGAAGTTTAATCAGGATTAAGGTTATTTAGTCAAGATACTTATGAATAATTGTGTATATATTTGTCGTCTGACAATTGCTCTTTATAGAGAGGCTAGGGTTATACCAAGGGGGTATTATAAAAGTCGTAATGAATTGAACAATATCAAAAGTATTCAAATCCGATTAACGCATGCGTGAAACATGTGTATACTAACCTTAGCGTTTGCCCAAGGACAGAAACAGCCCAACAGAAATAAACCAGTGAGCGGACCACCAATTGCTGCTAGAATGGTTCCAGTTATCTAAAACGATAAGAACTACCACTTAACTTCCAAAGGGGAATTACAACTAATATTTTTAATTATGCAAAAAAAATTTGAATGTGAATTTAAGCAGGGACATTTTAATATTACAATGCAGGTAACGATTATTAAATGTTTTAGACCTAGAGATCTCTGAACTCCTTTCCTGGATATCGTGAAGATTTTGATTGACCCCATTCGTGTAAAAATGCCACTTGACTTTAAATGATATTTACAAGTGATGACACAATCAATGTAAAAAAGGTTTATTAGAACAAACCTAACCGATAATTTTAAATCACATGTTTTGTCTTTGACAATAATGTTTACTTGTATATCGACATTGTACTTATGTAATTATTTTTTCTGTCCATCGGAATAAGATGCTTTGATACTTAAGGTATATGCGAAATACATTTATTTTAACTCTGATTTCTATTTGCAAATTGCAAAATCTCAATAAGGACTTCAAGTTTAAACCATTTAATTGCAGCTGTGGAAGTTTTCTCAGCACATTCCAGCTATCTACCTTATAAATGATGACCTCAGCATTGTCGACAGATTTTGAATACGAAACGTATTCGTCAAAGGTCCAAAATGCCGTAAGCTGAAACCTATTAACTGGAAACATGACTTTAGAGACTAACAAATTCAGTCGAGAATTATGCCGGGTAATGGTCCAAACACAAAAAGAGGACGTACGTACACGTTCAGTATTGTTTAAGAGGTGAGGTCGTTGATACAAATCGTAATTAAAAAGAACTTAATTGATCAAAACAAAAAAAGCAAAAATGGTTACTGCTAACAAGAAAGCTCTGGTAAAAGGATTTAATACAGTAAAGTTGAAAATATCGTTTCCACAAGTCCATCCTCAGTTTCTAATCTGTGCATTAATTGATGTGACTTTTACTTGCAATTAGAAACCTCGACGATTGTTGATAGTGGAGCAGGAACTGCTTACCCTTCCGGAGCACTTGAATTTACCCCAGATTTTGACGGGGTTCGTCGCTCTATCTGTTGTTTTTTTTGTTTTTTAGTGTTTTGTTATTGCTGGTGTTCATAATATACAGAAACAGTCCATTTTATCTTGTAACCTTGACAAAAACAAACCTGACATTAATTAACAGAAATCGTTGTTGACAATAAAGAATTCCGATGATTCATACTTACAGACAGGTCATACTACTAAAATATATTGCATAAATTCGAACGTACATATTTAAGGACTATGACATATATCTGTACACATTGGTTTTTTGTTTCATTATTACTTTTTTAAAAAGTCATTTTACCGTGTTTTTTTGCAATGAATCTTGAGTCAAAACAATTGAGGTAGGTAGTTTGACATTCGAATTCAACTTTCAAACATTTGATTTGAGCCATGATATATATTTGTGATGACGCAAATGTGCCAGTCGTATGCTTTCTATTTACTTTTTCTTGCGCTAAAAAAACTACGTACATGCATAAATAATAATTTCACTCGCGAATATGAATTTTCGCTTTTCTTATCTAATTCAGGACACGGCAGTAAGAGCTTGATATGTGACTTTCAAGCATGGTCATCATTACATAAGGTAATCTGACCTCTGGCTGTTTTTCCTTTCTTTTTCTTTTTTGAGTGACAGTCCTATTACAAACTTTGATATTTTCGAAATGCGAAGGATTGCCTACCCCAGGAATAGATTACCTTATTGTAGTATTCGGCAAAACCTTTGTTTCGAAACGTGCGTTCTCAATTCCTATCAACTTCGTACTGTATTTGGTTTTTTTAACTTTTGTATTCGAGCGTGACTGATGAGTCTTTTGCAGACTGAACTTGCGTCTGGCGTACAACATTTTAATCTTGGTATCTTTTTAAATCTACATATCTTTTTAGCGAGTATGTTCAGGTATTCATAAGACTTCTGAAAATAAGATATTCTTCAAAACCAAGTTTTCATGTAGAATGTTTGGATTATGTTAAGTAACTTCAGGAAATCTTTACAATTTGAGATGTTTTATGAGACCAAAATAATTGACAGTATATAAGAGGTCCCAATGAAACTGGTGTGTTACTCTCAAAATAAATATACGAAACCTTCTTACAATTTGCATGCCTCAGGGTTTCACTTCACATTGAAAGTGACTTAAAATTTATCTATACAACATCAACCATGAGTATAGACAGCTTCAATAACGAGTATAAGAATAATTGAAGGCTTCCCGGAAACAGAATATGAAGATGTAATAGAAAACATAAATGCATCCAGATTATAAAGCAAACTGTGTGCTTAAATTTATATTGCGATTGGTTTGTGCAACTTGCATTAGAAATCCAATTTGCAGAAACTGGGATTTGCAACAGGATTATGAATAAATGATGTACACTCTTAAGTAATAAATAAAATAGTCAAGCATTTAAATGTAAATTCAAATAGTAGCAGTATATATTCACTTTTCTATTTTCAACTATCCAACATTGCTTTCAATCGACTTGTGCAAGAATCTACACACAATTACATGTTTTCAATAAAGGTGTTTAACATCATCATTATCATATTCTATTCACAGTCAATTATTTCAAATCAAAAGCAAACAAAAATTAAACAACACATTTTTGGTGACCAATCAGCGGTCTCGGGTTCTCGTGTTGCTTTTCTTTTTTTTTTAAAGCAACTTGTGTCTTCTTCTTAGCTTCTAAATTTTATAATCTGCAACCTGAGAGGACAATTTTATCAGCAGTGATTAAGTTTTTTTTTTTTTTTTTTAACACTCAAATTGATACTTTATTGCACAACTTGCTGTTAACAATACCACTTGATGTACAGCATTCCATCAAGTATCCCTGTTAATAGTGCCACCGAATATCCAGGGAGAATATTCAGTAGAATTAACAAAAAAAAAAATTCTATCAATATCTAAATAAATAAATTGCTATTACAAATAGCTGTTTTAAATTGTCTACTACAAAATATGTTTATTTTTTTATATATAAAATACTATATATTCATGTAACATTACACACGTTATCACAAAAGTTCGTCAATATATTACGGAATTTATCACTATTTATTTCGGAATGAGTTTTTGTATACTATCTTAAATGTTCCAGAAACTAAATGCGGTCACTGGTCGATGACCTCGCACGTTTTTTGTGCTTCAATATTTTTCCCAATTGGGTTAATCTTCGTTTTGACCATCTATCTACAAGTTTCGCTATTTTATCCATGACTTTTTCCATATTCAGTGTGTCACATTCTTTTCTGTCATAACCAAAGTAAATACCTAAGCTTTTAATTGGTTTATTTGTCCAATTTATATTTTCATATTTATCTTTTGAACTTTTTAATTTTCCTAACCATATCCCCTCTGTTTTATTTCTATTTAGTTTTAATCCTGAAAAGCTGCCAAATGTTTCAATTATACTAAGAGCCAGACTTATTTCTTTTCGTGACTGAAAAAAAAGAGTTGTGTCATCAGCTAATTGACAAATTTTTAAATTACATGATTTTCCATCTAATTTTATTGTTATTCCTTTAAAATCTTTATTACTTCTTAGCCTTATTGCCATTAATTCTACTGTTATGACAAAAAGAAGAGCAGAAATCGGACACCCTTGTCGTATACCACGATATATTTTAAACGGACCTGAAACCCACCCATTATTTAAAATACAGCCTTTAATGCCATTATACATAGTTTCCACCCATCTGATAAAGCCATTTTTAAATCCAAACTTTTTTAGCGTTTCTGTCATAAATGTCCATTCCAAAGAGTCAAAAGCTTTACTAAAATCCAAAAAAAGTATTGCTCCTTCTATATTAAATTTTTCAGAGTAATCTATAATGTCTTGTATTTGTCTAATATTAAAACCTATGTATCTATTTTTACAGTGATTTTAAGTTTTCACTAAATCATGTAAAAGTAGTGTAACTGTTTGCATTGTTCTGAAGATTTCTAATATTTGTTACCAATGCGAGACGATTCCCTTGATCTAACCGTTTTCGTGTGATTTGGTTTGCAAGCGTATACATTTATTTTACTGTTTTACAAACAAATATATGATAAAAGAGATGATTTTTCATTTCCTATCGTTAATTATCCATTTTAGATGGTGACGTTCCCTTGTCACCATCTTACGGTGTTTATATATCTCAACTTGTCCGATTCGCTCGTGTATGTAACAATGTTTTAGATTTTAACGAGAGAAATTTATGTATTACTGAAAAATTATTACACCAGGGTTTTCGATATCACAAACTAGTCAAAACATTTACTAAATTTTATCATCGGTATAAGGACATCATTCGTAAATATAGCTCAACATGCAGACATCTTATACGTTCAGGTATTTCACATCCAATTTTTTATGGAAATATTCTTTATAAAGCACAAAAATGTCAGTATTCACCTCTGAAGCTAACAAAACCTTTAAATAGACTTATTAAGAAGGGATATAGTTACGATACTGTTGTCAGGTCATTAAAGATTGCATATGTTGGCGTTAATATTGATTCACTTATAGGGTCTTTGCATCAGCACTAAACACATTTATTTAAAAACCAGTTGTTGACATGACACGGGTTATGTTCTTCTCATATATGTTATGATGGCATGATACTAAACCCCTAACGGGAAGGATTGTGCCTGATATTCATATGATGAAGACATAATCTTTCAATCAGTTTAATTGAAGTCTGGAGCTGGCATGTCAGTTAACTGCTAGTAGTCTGTTGTTAATTATGTATTATTGTCATTTTGTTTATTTTCTTTGACATCTTCTGACATCAGACTCGGACTTCTCTTGAACTGAATTTTAATGTGCGTATTGTTATGCGTTTACTTTTCTACATTGGCTAGAGGTATAGGGGGAGGTTTGAGATCTCATAAACATGTTTAACCCCGCCGCATTTTTGCGCCTGTCCCAAGTCAGGAGCCTCTAGCCTTTGTCAGTCTTGTATTATTTTTAATTTTAGTTTCTTGTGTACAATTTGGAGTTTAGTATGGCGTTCATTATCACTGAACTAGTATATATATTTGTTTAGGGGCCAGCTGAAGTACGCCTCCGGGTGCGGGAATTTCTCGCTGCATTGAAGACCTGTTGGTGACCTTCTGCTGTTGTCTGTTCTATGGTCGGGTTGTTGTCTCTTTGACACATTCCCCCATCTCCATTCTCAATTCTATGTAGTGTAATGTCTAAACAGTTCGTGTACATGTAGTATTGAGCTAACGGAATAAAAGAAAGTGTGCATTTTCAATATATATTTTTTGTACCTTCGACAAGATTTTACATATTATTACTTTAAATTTTAGACTAGTAATGTTGATCAAATGTTACTATTTTGAACACATCTTAACTAATTAAGCCAATGCTAATTTTATTTTCTGTTTACTTCAAAAGCCACATGTATTTGTCAAACACATATTATTTACCTAAGAAGTACAATTAATATCAATACAATTAAATTTGTTTCTTCATTTACCTGTGTTAATGTTCCACCAATAATAGACACCAAAAGAGCTACGCATACAGCAACAATTCCAAACACTATGACTAATATATAAATGAAAACATTATGACTAAATTGTTAGTGAAATGTTGAATGTAAAACGTTAGTCCCTAAATATGATTAACAGGTTTCATATTAAGACTTAAGAAAAATATTATTTTCATTCTACTTATAAATACCTTTTGGCTTCGCATTTTCGATGAGTAAGTTTTAACAATAAATCTGCAAACCTCTTGAAAGAAGCAAAGTTGACTTTAGATAATATATTTGGCTATATTTTAGGTCCTTTTTGGTCATATGACTGTTCTTTCATATTTGGCATTCAAATATTTGGCTATGAGTGTTTCTGACGAAGGTAAATCTAAAAAAAATGCGCTTCGGACGCATGAAATTTATAACGTGTTGTTTTAATTTTTTTCAAGTGAAATTATTCGATGTTTGATTTCAACTTTCTTTGTGAATAATAAACATAATTTGCGGGGAATCGTTTTTTTTTTTTTGTTTGATTTTTAATTTCATTTATATTAGTCTTGTCATACAATTCACTAAAATCTAAGCATATATTTTAGGGTAAACAATATTTTATTATGAATTATACAAATTACAATATATATTCACGTTCACAAATAGGATTCAGAAACAAGCAGCAAGTGCTCATGTTAATTTGTCTCCTTGACATATACATAAGCATATAGTTTCGGACTCTTAGTTCTACATAACAACCATTAATGACTCCTTGATTAATGGTTTTATAGGTTTATGAACAGTATATAATTATAAAAAGTTTTTTAATGTAAAAACAAATGTACCATACCTGCAACTTTAGAAATAATTGTTCCTTTTAATTCTGACATGGGCTTTGTATGAGGCTTAACTAAATCCTGCCAAAACAGAGCTGATAAACTGCTGAGACCAGATGACAACGTACTGTTAAAATATTATGCATTAAAAATATTGCTTTCAATGTTGTAGGTTTTAGAAAATAATACATAAAAGAGGGACAAAAGATACCAGAGGGACAGTCAAACTCACAGATCGAAAACAAACTGACAACGCCATGGCCAAAAATAAAAAAACAAATAGACAAATAATAGTACAGATGACACAACATAGAAAACTAAAGACTAAGCAACACGAACCCCACAAAAAAACTGGGGGTGATCTCAGGTGCTCCGGAAGGGTAAGCAGATCCTGGTCCACATGTGGCACCCGTCGTGCTTATGTTATTACAAATCCGGTAAGTAGTCTAATTCGGTAGGTCACATTCGTGAAAAGGGAAAGGTATTTTAGTTACGACATAAGGAACATATCCGATATCATCTGTGGAAACGGTTATTCGATAACGGTGAACCAACTCGTGATGGCGTCTGTAAAAATTACGAAGGGATGATTTCAACTTCACCATTTGGAACTCTTGGTTTAATAGCTTCCTTGTGAGCAGTAATCCTCTATCAAGGAATTCATGATAGGAAATACAAGCCCGGAAATTTCGTATCAATTGGGAGATATATACTCCGTATGCAGGCACTGCTGGAATGTTGCTACATAGAAATGGAAAGTTCACAATTGGGAAGCTAAAATCATCTCTTTTGTCGTAAAGTTTTGTTTTCAACCAACCCTCATTGTCAATTTCTAGATGTAAATCAAGATATGAGGCAGACTTAACTGTATCTGTAGTATCCTTTATCTCTAGTTCGATGGGATGGATTCGTTCAACATAGTCACAAAATTTTGTATTATTAAGTGAGAAAACATCATCTATATAGCGGAACGTAAAGTTAAAGGATATTGCTAACTTCTTATCTTTCTTCCTAAGAAGATCCTGTATGAAGTCAGCCTCATAATAATAAAGAAACAAGTCGGCAAGAAGAGGGGCACAATTGGTTCCCATTGGAATTCCGACAGTTTGTTGAAAAACACGTCCTCCAAACGTAACAAATATGTTGTCAATCAAGAAATCAAGTATCTTGATAATGTCAGTTTCAGAGAATTTTTCGTTTGAATCAGAGTGATTCTTTACAAAGTAAGATTTATCCCTCCCTTAGACAAGATACTTGTATCTACATTCGCCATTCTTTTTAATGAAACAAAGTAATACCAACTCTTTCAATTTGTCTTTTAGTTTGGAATGGAGAATACTTGTGTAAAGTGTAATAGTCAAATGTTTAAATACTATTGCAAGATGAGACAGTCTTAGATTGTATGTACTCTAAAAGATTTTTGGATTTTTTTAGTATCCACATCTAATTCACGCCACCTCTAGACAGACATACAAATCAGGGGGGGGTGGGTGGGGGGTATTTGATAATCTTCAATATAGTTATTGATTACACGGAATACATAAGGAATTGAAAAAAAGTGTAATTTGCAACGGTAAATCAATTCTGAATACTTCTTTACCTTGTTTGAATATTTGTGAAATTAAAGATTACAATATGTTTTGATGTTGAGAGAAATACAATTTTAAAACAGCATGCAGAGTACACACATAAACGTTTATATTTGAAGGTTAAAATATGATAGTGCGCGAACAATCAGAATTATATTCCTTGCAGTTTCAGCCAAGCGTTTTCCTAAGTATGTGGCAAATTTCCCAAAATATGTTTTGTCAACACGTTGCCAATTATGTTCCATATATTATATTGTATTTCCATATGTATACCTTAATAATTAAACATCTCACTTCCGATTGCGAGGAAAAGTAAAAAATAAATGCATAGAAACAAGATATAGTTCCTTTCATTTTCCCGTTTATTTATATTAAAGGCCAATGTAATAACAAGAAAAGTCATTGAATTCAACCCGTGACCGTAAATACAGTCACTGTGATATTTCACTCATGGTCTACGCATGTCCTTTGGTCACGTGTTAAATATTTTTCGATATTTAAATTCTCAGACTAATTCTTCTATGCAAGAACACTCGTAAAAAGTCACCATACTCCGTAAAATTTGTAGAATGTTTCAGAAAATTTTATGTCTTTTCACGCCCTACTAGTAATCTTCCCAAACTGTAAAATGAAATCAGTCACGCCCTACTGGAAATCTTCCCCAACAGTAAAATGAACCAATCGCGCCCCACTGGTAATCTTTCCCAACTGTAAAATGCACCAATCACGCCCCACTTGTAATCTTTCCCAACTGTAAAATAAAACCATTCACGCCCCACTGGAAATCTTCCCCAACTGTTAAATGCACCAAACACACCCCACTGGTAATCTTTCCCAACTGTAAAATGAAACCAATCACGCCCCACTGGTAATCTTTCCCAACTGTAAAATGAAACCATTCACGCCCTACTGGTAATCTTGCCAAACTGTTAAATGAAACCATTCACGCCCAACTGGTAGTCTTCACCAACTGTAAAATGAAACAATTCAAGCCCCACTGGAAATCTTCCCCAACTGTAAAATGCACCAATCACGCCGCCCTACTGGTAATCTTTCCCAACTGTAAAATAAAATCAATCACGCCCCACTGGTAATCTTGCCCAACTGTAAAATGAAACCATTCACGCCCTACTGGTAATCTTTCCTAACTGTAAAATGAAACCATTCACGCCCTACTGGTAATCTTCCCCAACTGTAAAATGAAACAATTCACGTCCTAATGGTAATCTTCTCCAACTGTAAAATGATACCATTCACACCCAACTGGTACTTTTCTATAATTTGATTAGTCACCAACTATTTTTCGGTTTTGTTTGTGACATGTTTTATTAAATAATTGTTTGATTCTAAATGTTTTGAAAAAAAAATGGAAGCGAAAAATATATATTTGTATAGATTGTTACTATTAACATTAGTAAATTTAACATTGAATTATAAAAAAAAAAAATCTCATCTTAAACTACTCATCGAATATTCATTCCATTACAGTGCCCTGAAACAAATTAAGTTTTTCCTCACAACTTCTAAAACAATTTGAGTGCCAAGACTTTTTAACATTTCCTATCGAAAAGAAAAATGTAATGGCTATTTTTCTAATTATACCAAAAGAGTACTTTTCGGAATGTCGACTTTATTTTGGTTTGTATACCTTAGTGATGCACTGAATAACGAAGCCATAAACAATCCCGGCATTCCTGGTAGACCATTGAAAATATCCATTACCATATACGGTATTATCTGAAAAACGATTAGGTGGCTTAATCAACTACACTATTTTGTATATAAGAAAGTAACTAGACGAATCTATTACTATAGTAACTTGCTGGATTTTATAAAAATTTAATCACAATATAAATATTTACCTGTTAATCTATTGTGTATGATATAATAATATGTACTTTAATGTTCAATGTCTATGCGGTTATAATATCTATTTGTAAAGCTTATAGCATCTCTGGCTGTTTGTGACAATATAACACAAATAATGACAACAACAAAAACAATGATGATCTCTCTGGTTAATTTCTTGTGCGACCTGGATATAAAACTTTAAGTTTGGTTGATAGATCTCTCATTGGCAATCTTACTTTATTATCAAATACAGTTCCAATTAGTTTTTATTTAGTTTAAAATTTCCTTTATAGTCATATGAAACTTCAAATTTAAAAAAAAATATTCTTGAATGGCAAAAACACTAATGAGGTGTGTAAAATTTATACCATAGAATTTTTGAAAATAGCTAAATAATGTATTCCTACTTAACTAGTAGCTGCAGGACATAATGGCAAACACTGGTTCAATAAAGACTTAAGACGTGAAATTCGAATTTGAGATAAATTAAGAAAATACGCAGATAAATCTAAGAGTGAAAATAATATTATAAAGTACAAAAAAACAGAAAAAATAAAGTAACTAATATGAAAACAATTGTCACAGAAAAGTTCGAAACAAATTTGGACAGTGTAATATCAAAAACCCCTCGATCTCAAAAACGTATTAGAAATAAATGCAAACGTTGATTAAGTCCAATAAAGGTTTAGAACACATACCCCTCTCAAAAATATTATAAATGATAATGCACTGAATGAAATTGTATGTGAAGATGATGAGAAATGTAGTTTGCTAAACAAATAATTTAGTATGATTTGCAAACTAGATGAAGAATATGTTAATTTACACGAGTTTGACAAAAACCTGTAAGTTAGTTTTAAAAATTGAAAATAAAAATAAAAGAAATAAAAGGTATTATTCAGATATTAGATCTAAACAAAGCAAATGTCCCTGATGTGATCAGTCCTCAGATGCTTAAGTTGTGTCCAGAAAATGTAGCAGTTCCGCTCAATATTATATTCAATAAATCGTTACGAGAGGGCATATATCCAACAAGCTGAAAGATAGCAAATCTAATACCTATTTTAAAAAAGGGAGATTGATCTTTGCCTTCAAATTACAGACCGATATCTTTAATAAACTGTATAGGAAAAGTAATAGAAAGAGTTGTGTTTAAGCACTTGTACAATCATTTACATACTAATAAATTAATTTATGAATATCAATCATGATTTCATCCTTAAAATTCAGCTGTCCACCGAATCTTAGAAATATTTAACTGCATTTTAAACTCTTTGGAAAAAAAAAATTAATTGTTTTGTATTCTGTGAGTTTTCTGACGCTTTTGACAAAGTTTGGCACAGAGGCCTTATGCAAACTGAAAGCTTATGGTATTGACGGAAACTTATTACATTGGTTTGAAGATTATCTACATGATAGAAAACAGAGAGTAGTATTGCATAATTCGTCTTTCTTCCTTTTGCAATGTTTCAGCTGGTGTTCCCAAGGGATCAGTTATGGGCTCTTTCTCTTTGTCTTATATATAAATGATACTGCTGATCATCTTACACCACTGTGTCGGCTATATACTGATGACACATCATATAGTTATTCTGGTAACGACAGAGCACAGATTAGATCTATTATCGATCGCGATCTGAAAGAACTGGATGTTTGGTCTACTAAATGGCTTATGTCATTTAACCCTGATAAAACCAAAATAACGATTTTCTCATATATTACGATTCAAGACCTCAGCTTTTTCTGAAATCTTACTCAATAATCTTATTGGACTTTCCGAAACTTTGTTGTAGATACAAAACTATTAATTTGCGGAAACTTGGAACTTTCGAACGAACAAAATATTCCAATTTTCAAACATGTTTCAAATTTCATAAAAGTCAAACAGATTTCTTGTACCTTCATAAAACGTTACTGATACTGACACGGAACATCATCATCAACACCCACTTCATCATCACAGAATTATATGACTTTTCAATCTTTCCTTCTTTTTTCTCTCTCTTCTGTTTTTAACTATACCTCGCATTATATTCTATAAACTGTTTGCTTTAATTCATGCTCATTATACTTTCATTGTATTTATTTATATTGTATTATGGAGAAGACTTCATAAGTATGATGTCTAATCCTTTTTGCTATAATTTTCAATTTAGCAAATAAAATATGTTTAAACTAAACTAAACTGCAAAGTCAATTGAAAGGCATATACACCTGTGTCTTTGCCAAGTTATAATCTCTTAATCTGCATGAGACAAGACAAGTTGTTACTGAAGTTGTAAAAACCATTAAAGATCTGCCATCAACATAAGACGACCTTGAGAAAAAACATTTGTTTTCATCTTCTGCGATTTATGTGTCTTTTTCATTCTTCCAAGGTATCGTCTTACTATTTCTATTTTTAATATTCCTTTGCAAAATTGTTGATTTATAATTTTCAATTATTGCGCCATAACATAGTTGTCTATAACATTGTCCAAGTGATGTCTATAACAAGTCTAATTTTCATCTGTTGTTTCCTGTTTATGCCTTGGAATTACATTACCTGTTTCCCATTACCAAACAATGTTATACATTTAGAATGTGGAAAACGTCTTCAGCTATTTTGTTTCTTTTGACATGGTTTTTAAAGTATACTAGGTAAAAGCTCAAAAATTCATTAAAAACATACAAATCATAGTAAAGACTAAACAGTTCTTCAATTATTAATAATTATTCTAACTATACCTGATTCGGATTTGTGATTTGTTTTGATTTGAGTGGGTCACAACCTAGTGTGTGGTAGTAGGAGTAAGCAACGATCCCCTCGAAGAATGCCATGGCCATTGTTATGAGGAATGCTGGCGAAACAAATAGCATTACTCTGAAAAAAATCATCAAATTATTCTATTGTTTAGAATCATAGCATCTAGGAAAGTCAATGCAATAAAATGTATACAACTAGAAAAGTCAATGCGATAAAATGTTTACAACTAGGAGAGTCAATGAGATAAAATATATACAGTCATTATTTCACTTCATTTGAATTTTGGTGGATAGTCGTCTCATTGACAATCATACCATATTCTTATCTTTATATATTATAACTTGTAGTCATAAAATGTACATCTTATCTAAAATAGTAAAGGTACATATCATTTCCATTATTAAACAATTGTATGGAACAAAATTGTGACACAATTAAGTGTAAAGTTACATATGCAGATTGCAAATATTTCAAGAAATTATAAAGTTTAACAATGGATTACAAACGCCAAATAACAACTCTTCTTCAACAATAAAATTTTGATATCTTATCACAATTGTATACATTTGTGTACATAGATTTACTCATATATAGATATAAGAAAATGTGGTATGAGTGCCAATGAGACAACTCTCCATCCAAGTCAAAATTTATAAAAGTAACCATCATATACCTTTCAGTTTCAAGTATTTCTTATTAAAAAGGCTTCATTAATTTTTTTAGATGTTTTATCAATTCTAACTTAAAACACAGCAATTAATGAGTATATATGAGTCAGTAATAGAGTGAAAACTCATCAACAGCTGATTGCTTACCTGCAAACTCAGTGAAATATTACAGGATACATCGAGTACACCTAAATTGAACATTTATTGTGACAATAAATGTAATAAGCATATCTAGTGAGTAAAATATATAATATTGTTGTAATCGTTTATGTTCTGTATATTAGTTAAACATATTGGAAGTATTTTAAGCAGAAAATAGTAAGAAAAAAACCTGAAATAGTAATGTATTTGATTTAAGGTGTAGTTAGGATGACACTATCAAGATACAACCGTTCTTTCTAAGCTATTTGAGTTAAGGTGTAGTTAAGATGACAGAATCAAGCCACAACCGTACTTTCTAGCATCTTTGAGTGTTGGTGTAGAGCAGATCCTCTGAACAGATGATTGATTAAATATTAATCCAGTTCCTCTAATCATAGTGCCAACAAATAAATTCAAAAACGTGTGTCGTCTTGTGATGTCTGTGTCCCATCTAAATTCAAGAAGATATTAATCATGACGAATAATCAAATGTAATTTGTGTGTTACTGATAGGATGCTCAAAAACATCAAAAGGATGTTAGGCAATAGGTCTAGAAAATCAAATGCTTTCATACATGTATGCGTGCACGTGTGGTATTGGACTTTGTAACTGAACATTGTCATATCCAATGTCCATGGTCTTTCTTTTAGTTTTCTTTCCTTCCTTGATATTTTTTATAGAGAATTTTGTTTCGACTTTTTGTGTTTAAGTTTGATTGTTATACAAAAAAGGGATACTAGGAATTGCAAAATATATTAAATAAAACAACAGACTATTCGACTTCTTCCATGGAAACTAACATTGTTTTAGGATAGAAGTATATAGCAGATAAAAAATCAACGTACATGTAATTCATATTTATATGTTTTATATGTTTAATGTCCTTTCAGGTATAAATCAGGTTGACTCGATGTTGACACGAAACACAAAATACAACTTAGAAAAATAGAAAACACAAATAATCTATCAAAGACAACTATAACAGTTACTGAAACATAGTTCACAGTCAATTACAACTATAACATAAAATGATAATGTATTTCGGACTAAAAGATATATCAGTATGAATCCTATAGATTTAGTGTAAAGACCTCATAAACCGTATGAGAAAAGCATGACCCTCTGTAATGCAAAAAACATTTTTAAAAAAAGACAGGATGTAGGACCATAGATATACACAACTGTACAGCAATAATAAAAAAAACATATGAGGACAGATAAAACACAATATTAAGGTATCTTGCTACAATGATAAATCAATAACATTTAGAAATAAATTCGTTTTTCTCAAACAAGTCTATCATGTTTGTTTTAGCTGAATTTGCTGATTGTCTGTTTTAGCTAAAAATGCTGGTTCACCGTAAAATTTAAGATATGATATGCGCTTACAATAAGGTTTCTATGGGTACAGCTACACTTTAATCTATTAAAGACTTTAGTGAAAATTTTGTAGTCATTTAGTAATTTGTGGTAACGATATACTTGACCTAATAATTTGACAGTATAACATATTTATAATTCATAAAAATGGATCACAGGAATATTGCCGTCCAAAAAAGGAAAACGAACAAACATCGTGTATTTTGTCGTAAAGTTTTATATAGGGTTTCCTGTGTAAAATTGAAATATTATAATCAGTTCCATGTGTTTATTATGTTAACTTTCCTGTTAAATTGAAGCAAACAGATAATGTACGATGCAAACCACGATAATATATACCCCAGTTACTCTTGGTTATTTATTAAACTTTACGTCTTGAAACAATACGAAATTTAGTTGCTAATAAACATACATTTACATAGATATAAAACACAATTGCCCTTTAGCCGACATGGAACTAGTTGTGTTATAAGATATTCATTATCGATATACTCACACGAAAAAGTTAAGTCGTCCATTATCATTGGCAATCGTCCAAGTTGACTTTACACCTCCACTGACAATTGTACCCTGAAAACCCAATCGTGAATAAGTGCAGAATATCAATAAACCAAATTCAAGAGTCAATCGTGAAATAATATTTTTTTTTATAATGAATTAAATTACTTAAATAATCTTAACACAGACCGACAGCTAACATTTACCTTTATCAAAATTGCCATAATACCAGCGATCATTACAAAACTTTGGAAGACATCAGTCCATATAACAGCTTTTATTCCACCCTAAAACAAAAATTGAACATTTTATTCAAGTAGCTACATATCAACTATTTAACTAAGTGTATAAACTGCATCATACATAACCCACATACAGATCATTTTGAGACTTTTCTTCTGTTTCATTTATAAAGGTTAATTCATCCTGATTATTCATGAATGTTATTTATATACAAATAAGGAGATGTAATTTGTTGTCATTCTCTCATATTTCTATGTAATTTTAGGCCTGTTTTTACCTTTACCTTGTCTATGTTTATGAATATTAATTTTAATGTTGGTTTGATTGCTGTCAAATAAAAATATTTTGCAAACTTGCAGATGTCTTATTCTGTTATTGAAATGCTTGTTTGATTGCCCCACATATGAATAATATAGAATGGTTGTATTATTATTTGTCCAATTTTTTTTAATGATAACTCTCAAAAGTAAGTGCGACTGCTGCCTACTCAAACTTTATAAAACGTCACCAGTGTCTGAACAGAAAGTTGCTGAATAAATAAAGGCAACAGTAGTATACCGCTGTTCGAAAACTCATAAATCGATAGAGATAAAAACAAATCCGGGTTACAAACTTAAACTGAGGGAAACGCATCAAATATAAAAGGAGGACAACGACACAACAAAAACACAACATTAAAATGTAACACACACAGAAACGAACTATAATATAACAATGGCCATTTTCCTGACTTGGTACAGGACATTTTAAGAAAAAAATGGTTTTGTGGCATGCCAAACCTCCCGCTTTTATGGCAACGTCAAACAGAGTTATGTTAAAAACACGTCTTTTTCTAAATAAGTTCATCGGAAGATACCAAGACCTTGTTGATAAATATTTCGTATCAACTTCCAAAATTACACATGATGGTCTTGAAGTTTAGATTCTATATACTTACATTGTGTGTCATCTTAATTACGTGTAAAAGTGTTCTTTTATTGGCTTTGCATATTTTTTACCTTAACTGTTAAGTCCATTTTTGGGAATATCCTTTTGTCATGGCTCGGTATTTATACATCCCGCCATTGTATTATTTTGCTATGGTAATTTTTTTGTATTCTTGTCTTTCATTTTTGCTTATGTGCTTTGTCTATAGAGTGTATCAATGCCATTTTCTTTTTCTTTGTTTACATAGCTGTTTGTTTTTAAAGTGATTGAGATTAGAACACAATGTTGACTGCTGGACCCCAATTTGTGACATTTTTACTTATTATGTCTGTGTTTTGCTCACATACTGTTGACAATTTAATGGAATTATAAGCGACTGTCATATAATTGAGAGGTTTAGCTAGCTGTTAAACCAGGTGTTATCCACCATTTCCTCATAAGGAAATGCCAAGTCAGGAATATTACAGTTGTTTTCCTTTCGTTTGGTGTGTTTGAGCTTTAAACTTTATTTTGCCATCGGATAAGGGACTTTCCGTTTTGAATTTTCCTTGGAGTTCGGTATTTTTGTTATTTTACTTTTTTTGTTTAATCTTAATTTTCTACTTTCGTTAGAACAGAAAGAGTGTTGACTTTTATTATTATCACATTTTGAAAAGAATGCATATACATTTCATTTTTGCATGCTTTTTAAATTGTTTTATCAATATCGCAGCACAGACCTTAAGGCTTGTATAATTTTGTTTGTATGTGCTATACGATATGCATTAAATTAGTTCAAATTCAGTAGGATATCATTGGTTATTCAAAGAACCTTTTTTTCAGTTCCATTAACATGGAAACTTTTTTAGAATCAGTAGAAGCTGGCTAGGAGTAACATTTCTATTTATCTGAAACAAATTGGATATCCTATGACACTCACATAACTGGTCATTTTCATCTATAAAATGAAAGATATGTTTCCTTTTCAATAGATTAAGATCCCATACGAACAATCGTATTGGCTTAAACTTATACAATATAATAGATTATTTTCTTCTTTTTTTTTTGTGGGGGGGGGGGGGGGGGGGGGAACAATCAATTTTAATAGCTACTGTTGAATTATAAATTAGAGGAAATTAAATATGACCCCTTATAGAACAATGGTATGTTATATTGTATTTTTCGGTTTCTGTTTTTATTGCCATTCTCCCAATGTCCTTCATTCAAATAATGTCATTCTAATGTACATGCATTTGTGTAGCACATGCATATATTTACATCCCTTCATTGTTATAAGAATGATATTATATTAGTTTCATAATTAGTATTCGAGACGCGATTGATGAATATTTTGCAATAGAATCACATAGTGTTGGATAAGTGCTTATAGTCAAAATTAGTACAGTTATTAGTACGCATTTCCTTTGCTTTAATCTGTATAACACGATTATTTTTATTCCTTGATTACCTACGTATGATGTGCATGTTGTGTATGGTGTTGATATCATATCATCAGTCATTACATATAATATACGAAAGTGATAGCTCTGTTCACTGATGCCCTTGCTTAATATTTATTTGTCATTAATTTTGTTAAACTATTACATTATAAAATCTAGAAATTACAGGACTAAAACGGCACACTAAAACAGTTCAACGTCAAGGTGTAGGTGTGACCATCATAAGATGGTTTAAACAAAGCATCAATTTATGAGGTACTCTGGCTGAGTAAGTAAGGTGATAATGTAGTCATGATCATCAATAACATGTACCTGAAAAAAAATATTTACCTCCTTGAAGAGATTTTATACATATTCAGTCGTATTTAACGGAATCGCTTGTGAGTGTACTAGTAATTAAGAAGGTCCGAATATAACCTCCTTCGTCTAATGAACAATTTTTTCAGGTTGAATATATAATGTTACATTTTTCTTTGGCAGCCCCTTAATTTTTCAAGATCATCAGTTATCATTTTGTTTCATATAATTGATTATAATGAAACTGAAAACAAGATAAATACTGAAAATAAAAGTTCTCTAAAAACAAATTAACTCACAAAAACAAAAGCTGGCGTTAATTTATGAAACTTCGAGGCACTCTTTACGTTTTTGGAAAGGTTAAACTTGTTTCACTTCTGGTATAGTTAAGAGAATGACAAAAACCAACAAAAGGTTCAAACAACACACATCAAGGTAACTTATAACCAAACTAAATAATTTTATTACATTGGTAGCATTGAATTACATTGAATTCCCAGTCAAATAAAAACCGATAATTTCACATGTGAAATAAACGTGGTTATTTCACTCTCTGACGTCATACAACAATAGGCGTTGTCAAGACGTCGATAACGTCGGATCAAAACAAATTGTGGATGCGTAGAAAAAAGATATAGTTCCTTACATTTTCTACATTAATTTCATTAAAAAAAGCCATTTGCCAATGTAATAAAAAGAATAACTAATCAAAGAATTCAAATATCGAAAAATATTCAACTCGTGACCGAACAACACTGATAATTAACTCATGCGCTACGCGCATTTGTGAATTAATGTGTTGTTCGGTCACTCGTTGAATATTTTTCTCTATTTGAATTCTTCGATTAGTTATTCTATAAAAATTTAAAAATAATTACAACAAAATATCGAAATACTACAGAGAGGCACAACTATTTATTAATAAATGAATTATTGAATTAAAGGTAATGCAGAGTTCTTTATAATTATGCACCACAATGGCTCTAAGAGAAATGCAAATTTAGACTAAAAGAAACGAGGCCAATATAACAAAGAAATCGCAGATGAACAAAAGAGTTTTCGAACCAGAACAATGCAGGGAGAATATCATCATCTTGTGTAATTGGACCCTAAAAATAAGCTTTTGACCACTGTCATACAAATTATGTATACATGTTTAAATTTCTTCTGCTACAGTCAAGTGCAGACTGGCTCGTTCACCTTTTTTCATAAACTATTGTTACAATAAATACATAAAAAAAAATAATCAACAAGAAAAAGAAGGTACACAACAAATAAGCTGCAACATTACACAAAACATGTCCATAACAGACGCTTGTTATCAGCTTCAGCTTCATTTGGCCATATAATGATGGTGATTATCTGATGAAGGCAGGAAAGAAGCACAACACAAAAACAATTGTACTTAATGATAACATAAAACCAAATTAATACAACATTACTAATTCTTATTTTTATCCGTTGGAATTATAGAACAATGCTGAAGATTCTAAGGAGACATTTAAAACTCATTAGTCTAAAAGAAACTGACAACGCCATGGTAAAAATATTAAAGGACATCAGTATTTCATTTACGAGCGTTCCCCTCATTTCGCAAGTGTATATATTATGCTAGAATCTAACTTATAAAATGACACATCATTAATTGTTTAATACTTACCATAGAAGTATATATACATCCATAAATGTTTGATACTTACCATTGAAGTATATATAACAGCAGCTATAGCAACAATGATGATTGAAGCAAACTGAGGGAAACCCATTACTAAAAATAAAACAGAATAGTATTAGGAAAGTTAAAATGTAGTACACTTCCGTCTGGAGCATTATGTAGCTATTGATATTTCTCTTGTGAAGTAGTTATACAAATTTTTTCATTATTCATGTAATATAGTACATTCTCAACCACAGCAAGACTGTCGCATTGATAACACAGCTGAATTCATCGGCATTCTTATTAAATAACTTTGAATATTTGTTACTATATCATTTATATCCTTGACCTTAATTCTTATAACTATACAAAGAATTAATCTACATGTATGTGGAAGTATCTAAGTAAAAGACCTGATAAATGTAAAACTCCAATTCAGTGTAGAAATACAATGGTGTACATGTATTGTAAGGAATCTTACATGTATTGCTATAAAATGGTCGTGATATATTGTGAATGTTTTAACATGGATTGCTATAAAATGATCGTCATATATTGTGAATGATGAAACATGTGTTGCTATAAAATGATCGTCATATATGGTGACTGATTAAACAAGTGTTGCTATAAATATATATATATATTGTGAATGACTAAACACATGTTGCTATAAAATGGTCGTCATATATCGTGCATGAATAAACATGTGTTGTTATAAAATGGTCGTCATATATTGTGAATGATTAAACATGTGTTGCTATAAAATGGTCGTCATATAATGTGAATGATTAAACACGTGTTACTGTAAAATGGCCGTCATATATTGTGAATGAATCAACATGTGTTGCTATAAAATGGCCGTCATATATTGTGAATGATTAAACATGTGTTGCTATAAAATGGTCGTCATATATTGTGAATGATTAAACAAGTATTGCCATAAACAATCGTCATGTAAGGTAAAGGGCTCGGGCGTTATCAAGCATGTCCAATCCTCAACAAGTCAGATGCCTGTATGTAAGTTGCTAACTTCTTCGTTTTGTCTCTGGTAGAAAGTTGTCTTCCTGGCAAGTATACCATACCTCATTATTTTATATCACAAGGTTGGCAAGGAAACAATCAAGTATTTCAAAATGACAAGATTATTAATAAAATGTCCAAGTATTCCGTTTATTGTGGTGTGAATAATTTATAGCCACAGGTAAATATAAACATTAATTGTAAACAAACCCGCTTCTAATGCAATTGCTGGTCCAAACAGTACAATACCCATGTACAAAGCCTAAAAACAAATAAAATAACACTCAGTACTTTCTTAATTGAATAAGGTGCGGGCAAAGAAATTTCTTAATTGAATAAGGTGCGGGTAAAGAAATTTTCATTTAGAGGAAACATTATAGCAAAAACAGAATTCTAGTAAGACAAGCAAAGCGAAATTTATAATAAAAATTAGTTCTATTCGTTGACATCACGTTTTGAAAATCGTCTGTTGAAAAAGTTCGTTTTAAAATAATGACAGAGCAGAGCTATTAAAACCTCCAATTTAATTGGATTATCTTCGTGACAATATTGCAGGTGACAGACGTATTTTTGATTGCCCGCTACCTTATGTGTTTTTTGTTGTTGTTGGAAATAATAGTTTATAATGCCTGAACAAAGTGCTAAACGTAAAAACATAAGTTTACTTAATGATTCCGAAAGCAAAAAACCTACAAAAAAAGAAGTCTAAGAAGAAGGGTAAAAATATAAATTAAACAAAATGTAACAATAATACTAACAATACGGGTGACATTAATACAGGTGAAAACAAATCAGCTGTTCCACATTGTACCGGTAGAGTAAACACGGATGTAAATATAAACAATAACAATACCAATACCAACAAAATGAACCAGTCGCAGTACAGACTGGTACACACTTAATGTACCAACAAGGTCCAATGTTTCCGTTTCCACAACAACAGCAGTTTTGTTTTAGTCAGACGACTGGAGTATATCCTCCTCCAATGCAACATGTACCGCCCATAGCATACTCATAACATCGAATGAATGTTCACAGGTATGGACAAAGGAGTAGACCCGGTAAGACCCCCGTTTGGCCCCAAAATATAGCTTTTTTACAAAGTTACTAAAAATGTACACTTAGCTATTTACTGGAAAGAAGAATACTTTTGTTACAAAATATGGGCTGTTTTTGGACAATACAATTGACATGCATTAGGTACTAGCATAATTATTTCAGGCAAAAATACTGACATTTTCATAATTTTAGCATTTGTGCTAATTTTAAGATGGTTTTTGTCTCAAATGGAAGTGGCTGCACTTGTGTTCAGTCTTAATATTTAAATATATGTTGTATTTTATGATAAAACATAACATATAAAAATGTTCAGACTGAACAGGAATGCGGCCACCTCCGTTTTAGACAAAAACGATCTGAAAAGTGACGTTTTATGGCATATTTGATAGATTTTTCATATTTAAGCTTGAATTTGAGCGTCTTTTATGACCACATTAGTTTAAATCCTTAAAATAAACTAATTGAATCGACTGAAGTAGACACTTAATTGTTTAAAATATGTCAAAAATATTTCATCAGATGTACTTTGAATTTTAAGCCGAAATCAGCCCTTACCGGACCTTCTCCTTTGAGTCTAAATCAAATAAACTTAACTCATTCAATAATCTAGTAACTACAATACACATTAAAGTTATTCGTCTCGAGCAAGGCACAAATTCTCTAGATGAACGTTTGGAACATGTAGAAAAATGCACCCAACTTATTAGCGATGATTACGACGGGCATAAAGTGAAGTTCGCGGATATGAAATTTTAACTTTTCAATATTTCTAAAGCTATGAAATCTAGTAGTTATGAGGTCAATAAAATAGATAAAAAGCTTACTTCGTCTGTTTCGGACTTACAAAACGAGTGTGGTTAATAGAAAGAAAGTATTTTGGATATCCATATGCAGTCCACGAGTAACAATTTAATCTTTTATAATATACCCGAAACTGAAACTGCAATCCCGAACGAATTCATGTTTTAGATGCTCATCGTCTTGGTCAAAAAAGTCTTAAAATCAGACCTATATCAGCAAGGTTCAAGTGTTACGATCATCGTTAAGTCGGCCGTAGAAACGCAAAAAATCTGAAAGGTTCCGATTTTAGCATTTCACAACAGCTACCCACAGGAAAGAATTGCTTCCTCTTTTGAAAGAATTGCGTGATAAAGGTGCTAAAGCCTATTTTGTGAAAGACAAAATTTATGTTGGTGGAAACGAATACAATCAACCATAGAGGTTACCAAGAGAACAAACTCAAAGCTTGAAATGTTTGTCCTGGAATGTAAATGGACTAGAGTCATGTGATGACGACAATGAATTTTTTAAAAATTGTTTACAATTATGATATTCATTTTACTTTGTGAATTTTGGTTAAAGCTTTCTATGTTGCGATGTTACACTATTGTTTCAGATAAGGGTGAAGGTTCGGTACCATTAAAAAGTTCGAACCCGCTGCAATTGTTTGCACCTGTCCTAAGTCAGGAATATGATGTTCAGTAGTTGTCGTTTGTTGATGTGGTTCATAAGTGTTTCTCGTTTCTCTTTTTTTATATAGATTAGACCGTCGGTTTTCCCGTTTGAATGGTTTTACACTAGTAATTTGTGGAGCCCTTTATAGCTTGCTGTTCGGTGTGAGCCAAGGCTCCGTGTTGAAGACCGTACTTTGACCTATAATGGTTTACTTTCATAAATTTTGACTTGGATGGAGAGTTGTTTCATTGGCACTCATACCACATCTTCTTATATCTATAAAAGACAAAAATTTAAAAGAAATTGAAGGTTGTGTCAAAATATCATGTGTTAACCGTAAAGAAAATATCGGTATTAGATCAGAAGGTGGTATAGCTGTTTTTTGTAAAAATTATATAGTTGATGGTATATTTGTAGAAAAAAGTTTGAATATGGTATATTTGTTATTAAACTTGATAAATTATTTTCAATTCAATTGATATACTTTTATTTGTTTTGCTTGTACTCTACATGAGAAATCAAATTTTTACCAAATTTGTGAACATGATTTCCATGATATTTTGAAAATATTGTCCTTGAGTATAAAAGCAAAGGTTCAGTTATTCAGGTATATGGTGGTCTGCACAGCCGTACAGGCGAATTGTATGATATCTTAGAAACTGATAATTTAGACAGGTTAATATATGGTGTTGATTCCGATGATATCCCCAGTATTTATAAAAGGCGCTCTATGGACAAAGTTATAAACGTATTTGACGAAAATTGCTACAGATGTGCTACAATACGGGCCTAACGATTGCGAATGGCGACGGACAGTTTATTTTTTGCTCTTCTAAAGGTCAAAGTGTTAATGACTATGTTCTTGTGTTTCCAAAAAATTACAATAGCATCGCATACCTCAGCGTTTAGCAATGTAACGCTTTTTCCGACCATGCGCCGATTTTTAATGAAATTCGTATAAACAAAACTTTTTTTAAGGACACATAACATTATAAAGTGGGACTCAAAAAAGTGTCACGATGATAATCAACTTCTTTTACAACAGGTGAATCACTTTTGATGCTTGTAAATAACTTATCCAACGCAGACGATGTCAACGATGCTGTAAGGGAAATAAGTTGTGTTTTGTATGACAATGCTTTTAAAATTTTTGGGAAAACCATATTGGTGAACAATTCTAAAGATGTGAAAAAACAAAGCAACGAATGGTTTAATGCAAATTGTGCCCTTGAACGTCGCAAATTTAATTAATATTGCACTTTCTACCAACGTCATTCTACAGATGCAAATCGACATTTACATATCTCAGCCCGGAATAGTTACAATAAGCTAAACGTGAAGCTCGAGCAAGTTTCAAACATGCCAAAGGACTTGAACTTTGCAAAATAGCTAAAATGAGCCCACGAAAATTTTGGTCTGCAGTTAAGCTGCAAAAGAAATCAAAATTTTAGCTGATTGTGATTTGTTGTTGCGTCATTTTGAACAATTGCTAGGGGGAGACACCTTCAGATATATGTGAAGAAGTCATTGATCTGATTGAAAATAACTCATTTTTAGACACTAATACAATAGACTCTCTAGATAATGAAATTGTGGAAGATGAAATTATACGTCCTATTGGTAAACTTAAATCTGGAAAGTCTAGCTGGGAATGATTCCATTATCACTGAAATGTTGTCACCGAATACAGTTTCCTCGCTCCTATTTTTAAAACTCATTTCAATTTCATGTTTGAAAATGGTCTTTTTTCGGATACGTGGTCGTATTGTAATAGCTGTTCCGAAAAATGGGGACTTAACAGACCCGAATATTTATCGACCTATCATCTTAGTGAGTGTTTTATCAAAACTGTTTACGTCGATATCAACCGAACGATTACTTAGTTGGGCTGAGGATGAGGAAAACTTATCGATAACCAGTTTTAATTTCGACCTGGCCGCTCAAATGTTGACGCTATATTTGTACTACATGGTATTATAACAAATAATCTACAACATACATCAAAATTATATTGTGCATTCGTCGATTTTCGTAAAGCATTCGACAAGGTAATCAGAAGAATTCTATGGTACAATGATTTAAAAAGTTGTTTCAGCACGAAATTTGTTTTAATCATAAAGGCAGTCATGAATCTGTTTGTCTACGAATTCGCACCGAGGGTGAATTTAAAGAGGCTTTTGAAAATTTTCTTGGGAGTGAAACAAGGTGAACCGTTATTACCTCTTTTATTTATATTTTAGTGAATGACATTGTTCAGGATATTCCTATGGGTAATGATAACGGTGTTTTGAATACCAATGGATGTCTAATTTATTAAATTTTGTTTGCAGACGATACCGTCCTATTCGGAAAATCTGCCGAAAATTACAGGTCTTGATAAGAAAACTTTCATTTTATTGTAAAAGTGGAATATAACTGTTAATACTGACAAGACAAAAGTAGTCATTTTCAGAAATGATTGGCAACCTGTTATTAACCGTTTTTTCTTTGACAACCAGGAGCTAGAAATTGTAAATTCATATGTATACCTAGGCATGTTGCTACATTTCAATGGAAATTTAGGGATATCATCGAGCCAATGACATAGAATTCGTTCATAATCGTTTCTGTTGTTTTGTATTAAAGCTTGATAAAATGTACCAATCGCCTTTTTTATGTGGTGAACTTGGTCATTTGCCTACGTTCATTTTAAGGAAACATAGAATTATAAAGTTTGGTTGGATAAAATATATGATAAACCTTACATTGTATATGATATTTATAACCTCCTACGCATTGATGCTTCAAATGGTAAGAGAAACTTGGTTTCAAATGTGCGCGATTTACTATTCAGTTTAGGTCTAAACTATGTATGGATTGATGAAGAGAACATTAATGTATAGTTTTAATGTATAAAATATCGTATAAACGATTAGTATTACCAGAACTGGTTTGCTATTTTGAACGATTGTGAAAAACTGTGTTTATATAGAACATTAAAAAATCATTTTTGTTTAGAGGATTACTTAAATTATGATTTTAGTAGTAATTTACTCACTAAACTACGTAGTGGACATTTTAACTGAATATAGAAGTTGGTCCTTTGACAATATTCCAAGATAAAATCGTATATGTACATGTTGTTATATGAATAGTATAGAAATGATTATCATTTTGTATAAGTGTGTCCTGCCTTTAGATCATTGACGCTACAGTTTTTACCTAAATATCATTGTGCGTGGCCAAATAATAGAAAGCTTGTATTTCCTTTGCAAGCTAGCACATAGAATTTAACCGAAAGATTGTGTAAATTTCTTAATGCGGTATGGAAGTTAAGATTACAAATTATAATTGCATAACAGTTGTAGTTCTGTGCTTGCCATGCCTTTATTGTGTTGTTCTCTGTTTACTGTCATGATTGTCATTATATATTATATTATATTTGCTATAGCATTATGTTTGCTTCTGCAATAAAATATTCATTCATTCAATAATGTTCAATACTTAATTAAACTTATTTTTCACTTTGAAATTTTAAACATATTTTTGTTTAGTTACAAATTAAATTTCAAACATATTGAGTGATTTTGTCTGTAGCTTCAGGTTTAATTAATTCTTTGTTTTAGCTTCATTGTTTACAATTCGAAAAAAAACATAAAAAAAGTTACATGTAGGTAAAATCTATACTACTTAAATAACGAGGTACAATTTCTTAGCCTGCATGACGTATAAATGACGAATCAAAGATTTCAACTTTATATATAACTAATATAGGGCAATGGTGTTAATTAAAAAATAAACCATTCCAGGCCCTTTTGTTTTCCACATAATTAATATTATCAATAATTAACATGTTCCGGGTCGAATTCGATACCGATACCGATACCAATAGTATATGTCACATGTTACTTGTTACCTGTTACCTAATCTAGATCGGTTCCGCCTATCACAGGCGCACCACTAAACGGTGAATCTGGGATCTGCTATATTCACGGTTCATTGTCACACCTGATCTACGTCATTATACAGGGATTGACACTACTGAATTCGATCATTGAACAAAAAATATATATACAAGTAGTTTCCGGTTGTAATAAGAAACCAGGACGGGTTCAAACAGAACGATTTTGAAAGCAGAGAATACTGTGCACCTTGTAATCAGCATGACTTTATCAAATGACAATACGAATACTAAAAATATAGGCTAAACATAAGGTGTAGGTACTTTAATTCATTCACGGACCTGCGATGTCGCGGTTGTGTTCTAGTAGTAATTATTATTATCACAACTAAACTACTTAAACCCAAGATATAAAACATCTAAGCAGTAAATATATTTCAGTAGTAACTTAAACCTTAATCACAAAGTGAGTTTAACGAAATTACAATGACTATAGCATTTCGTTCTTCACACATAATGATCCAGACACACTTTTATCATAAAAAGAATTTTTAGTTTTAATTCAGTTTGTCGAATTTATTTGTCTTTTGAACCACTAAAAAGATCTTCATTTAACATTTAAAATTAGGTGGAGAGGGTTTGGAATCAATTCATTCTAAAATTTCAGGTCCGTTTTACAAATACCGTATCCAAAAAAATAGAATTTTTCTCCTTACATTGTAACCATTATTCAAACAAAGACGCTACATTTAAACCTTTTTTTAATTTTTGGTATTAAGTCGATCTACATAGCCAAGAACTTTTTGGAAATCTTTTTTTTTCAAATTTCCACAACATGCACGGAAATACAAAATATCAAGAAATATTTAAGTAATATTCTTAAAGTTATGGCGTCGTATAATGATTTCAAATTTAAAAGGTCGACGAAATAAAGCATCATTTGATTCTGAGCTCAGTGTTTGCAATTAGATGTTTTCCTTTTTTTACTCTTCTAGTACCAGTTTAATGTCTACAAAAAGACGGTTCTATGAAAATGTCCTCGTTAATTTTTACAGACATTTAACTGTGACGTATAACTTACATAATTCAGCATTCCAAGAACTGTACCAAGTATTCGCACAGCATGGGAATTAAATCGTAATTCCAAGTACTGGAAGCAAACATAATTGAATGAAAGTTATGATTATCATTAAACGTTTATAATTATATATAATACAATAAAGAAATGACAAACACTTATCTTTTATTATTTAGAATTACTAACTTATATGTGGATAACATCGGATACTTGATTGACGTTTGAGTATGCTAGTTACTAAAATACAGGGAATCAAAGAAGTTGTCCTAGTGTTTTGATAGAATTTGTCTCAGATGAATGTACATCCTACATATATGTATATGTGCGTATCATTCCCTAACAATATACTAAGTTTTATATAAATATGATGAACCATCTTTGATGAGTTGTAATTAATGGCAATGTAGAAGCTGAACAGGTCAAAGCATGAAAGAGGAGTAATGTTGTCAAGTTAGTTACTGGACAGGGCCAATATTTCCGAAGCTCAAAGACACATGTTCCTGGTAAGTTCAATCAACTTGAATATACTACCAACAATCAGAATTGTATATTAGGATATAACAATATACTAAGTTTTGTTAAGATACGATTTAACAAGACGGAGTTGCAATGACAATGTCGCTACTGAACAGGGTCAAACACTTAAAGCTGAAATGTGTATAATTCTGGATTAACTAAACAGAAAAACTAAATTCTTCAAGTTGTAGCGTTTGAATATCCTGTTCTACAATATTTTGAAGGGAATTTATCAAAGGGTAAAGAAATGTTTTTTTTTTTGTTTTACAATTTTACATATGATTTTTGATTGCCTCCATTGGTATCTTTACTGTCTCTTTTATGGTTCTACATTCAATCAATATTTATATTTTGACATTGTACAATGTTACGCTGTTTATAAAGTTTTTATACTAGATCCGTTGGATATGTAACAATTGTTACTGTAGTGAAAACATGCCTTTTAAGGTATTGTAATGGGCTTTGAACAAGCTTTTAATCTTTCTGTACATTTACCGGTACTTTTTATCTTCAATTTTTATTTGGTATTTTTGTCCTTCATGCCGATCTGATGAGTTAATCCCTTTTTAACTGATTTTTACTGTTTGTTTTTATGTTGAGCTTTTATATATCAATTTTCCAGGTATGGGGATAGTAAAGTGCTCACAAACATGTTTAATCCCGCAACATTCTTAATGTACCTGTCCCAAGTCGGGAGCCTGTAATTAAGTTTATGTCGGCGGTTGCTCCATGTTATATTGGTTTCATGTATTGTTTTTTCATACATCGGGTCGTCGGTTTTCTCGTTAGAATTTATTTAATTATGCCTTTTATATAAATAGAAATAAGAAGATGTGGTATGAGTGCTAATGAGACAACTCTCCATCCAAGTCACAATGTGTAAAAAGAAAACAATTACTGTAAATCAACTTATTTTCACGGATACTTTATTTCGCGTTTAACCCTTTCTAATCCACTTCGCGGCTACTTAATTTCGCGATTTTCTAATTTACTTAATGTAGTTTAATAAGGAAAGATCCAAGTTTTACATATTCGCGACGATTTATATTCGCGTTATTCTTCTACTCGCGAAAGTCGCGAAAATAAGTTGGTGTACAGTATAGGTCAAACTACGACCTTCAACACGGGGCATTGGCTCACACCGAACGGCAAGCCATAACGCTTAATATACGGTTTGTATTTTACTAAGGGTTTAAGGTCTTGTGGTGACCAATAGGTGTTATCATACATGTCCGTTAGTTTCTGTTGGATAGTTGTCTCTTTAGCAAACATTACACATCTCCTTACTTGTTAAAAAATTTTAAAAAAAAACTATTGCTTGCTAATATATTTGTCGAGATATTTCACAAGACTTAGTATATGTAGGCTTAGTGATATGTCCGTGACTTGATATAACAAAGTGAATAGAAGAAATGAAAATCTATACGATAAGTACTAATCAAAATATACCTTACCTCATATGCACTAGTAATCTTCAAAGGATGTATCAATGGTATCATTATTTTAATTGAAAGCAGATTAGCAACAAACCATCCAAAATCTGCCATAATATTCTGAATCCCAAATACGTATGATTCTGCAGGAAATCCAAGCATCATGATTGATGATTCAAACGACACTATTAATGAAATGGCAACCGGTATGATGGCCATTCTACGGTTTCCAAGATGAAACTCGGATGTTGTTTTTTGTTTCCCACCGACAAATGCATGAAAGAGACCAATTCCGACTGAGAGCACGATGGTAATGGCAAATATAATATAGTCTGCCAAGTAAAACGATCTAGATGCCATCTCTGTAATTCAGTGATAAAACCTTTTCCTATGTCATCAAAATACGTCGACTTGCATTTAGTAGAAAATCAAGTGCTGAAATAAATAAAAAATTCAAAGAAAAGTAACATGAACATAAAGCTCTCCTTTGGCTTAATTTTGTTGTGATTTACCTTGTCCTTTGAATAGGCGAAAATACTAATTGGAACGGTTTCTTTATCTTTATCTCTTCTTAAGGAGTTTACTCTAATCAATCCATGACAAAACGGAGACATGATAGAAACGAAATACATAAATGACTATAAATACTGTAATTTAATGATTTTTAATAACAAAAAAAAGTATCCTTGCCAATGTCACCGTAGAACGTAATGTACATAGTGAAATCGACTGCTCTGTGTTACAGATGACCACGGATATGTTCCATCATTTTGTAGTATTCATAGTCATAACAGCGCTATTCATCCTCAGTCCACAGTTAATCACATGGTTTACATGTCACTTGATAAGACCAGGAAAACACTAACGAAAAACAACTCGCCACCATATTTTGATAAGATTTGACGACAAAACAAACGTTAACAAATCCGTTCAAAATACAAATCACTAATAGGACATGAAAAAACCATCGGTCGACGTTTGTATTGCTGTTCTTCGTCTCAAACTCAGAGTGAGACCTTTAACATGAAGCAATAGCAAAAGTTTCACCCACTGTAAGCTCATGGCTGTCTTAATCTCTGTTTTGAGCGGAAAAGTTTGTTAGATGACGTCCTAGCTACATCTGTGCATTGCAGTCAAAATCAACAATTATAAATTACATCTGGCAAAGATGTTAAGCAATCCGTCCTAAAAAAAAAAACCCGATAAACTCACTGTCTCTTCTACGTTGTTTGTTTACAGTGTAAACTTTATGATCTGGTACTTTTTCAGTTTGGAATTCTTGATTGACACATAGCTGAAGGCGTGATAAAACACCCTTATATAAATAACACATAGTTGAGAACAGGATAGAGTACTCTTATATAAATAACATATAGCAAAGAGTGTGATAGAGCACTCTTGTATATATAAATAACACATAGCTGAGAGCCTGATAGAGCCCTCCTATATAGATAACACATACCTGAGAGCGTGATAGAGAACTCTCATATAAATAACACATAGCTGAGAGCATGATAGATCACTCTTATATAAGTAACACATAGCTGACAGCGTGATAGAGTACTCTTATATAAATAACACATAGCTGACAGCGTGAATGAGCACTCTTATATAAATAACACATAGCTGAGAGCCTGACAGAGCACTATCAACATAAACAATTACTTCTTGCTTCACTTCAAAGAGTTAATTTGGGAATTCCATTTATATTCTAAATTTTTTATACGGCTTACACAGCTAAAAGGAATGCATATGTAAAATCGTTTGTTTTCAGCAGAGAAAATTGTCTAAAAATAATTGAAATAAAAAAAAAATATTGATACAAATACTTTAAACATATTTTATTTTCAAAACACGAAAAAACTGACAAGTAATATCACACATTTTTGACTTTCTTCTCCAATCCAAAATAATGATTGTCCAAGGTTATAGTTGTCTTTTTGACATTGTTTACATCCTCCTTTTTTATTTGATATTGTATTTATATGTAGTCATAGATCAAATGTATTCGTTCAGTGTATGTTTACTTGTTTTTGTTAATATGTCTTTTTGAAAGAGTTAAGCCATTTCAATTGATATTTTATAGTGTGTCTTTCTGTTGTAGTGTAACACTACTATTTCAGGTTAGGAGGAAGGTTTGCGCCTGTTATAACGTTTAAACCGCTGCATTTGTTTGCATCTGTACTAAGTAAGGAACCTGTTTCAGTGGTTGTCGTTTGTTGATGTGGTTCTTAAGTATTTCTCGTTTTTTAAATAGATTAGACCGTTGGTTTTCCTGTTTGAATTGTTTGACACTAGTCATTTTGGGGCCCTTTATAGCTTGCTGTTCGGTGTGAGCCAAGGCTCCGTGTTGAAGGCCGTTATTTGACCAATAATTGTTTAATTTTTAAATATTGTGACTTAGATGAAGAGTTGTCTCATTGGCACTCATACCATATCTTCTTATTTCTAATTACATTGATAAAACAACATATGATAAAGAATAATCTTGACACATGGGTGATATTTAGAAAAAAACAAACAAAACATAGCACAGCATACGTGTGTTGTGAAGGAGTTTGATGTCGTCGAATAAGGTTAAAATAGAACCACTAATTCGGCCCGGTCATAAAGAACATACAAGAAAGAAGTACATATTTTAAACAAAATTGTTCTTGCGCATACAATGTAACTGTAACTTTGTCAATAAGTAAAATATTTGAGTAATTTTGGTATCAAATGAAAGCTTAAGGACTTGGGATCACTGTAGATTGGTTGATTGATTGATTGGTGTTTAACGCCACTTTCAACACATTTTTGCTATTGTGGCGGTCAGTTGTTTCTTTTTGTGCAGGAAGCCGGAGTGCCCGGAGAGAACCACCGACCTTCGGTAGGAAAGCTAACAATCCTAGTCAATTAAGATATTGGACTCGAGTGCACATGCCCCGTGCGGGATTCGAATTCACAACCGCCGTGGTGACTGGCTAGTGATACAGTAGTTCGACTACTTAGAGCACGCGGCCCCTTGGATCACTGTAGAAACCTTGTTTAAAGTTTCTTGTGAATAATTAAAAAATATATGAAATTAAGATAGGAGGGCATATGCTGCTCAGATCAGAAGTACCTGGTTTTTTGTTCTACCATACTTCCGGGAACCTGTGCGCTTTAATATGCAATTAAATATATGTTGATAAGGTACAGTTCTGACATGAAATGACTATCACTTTATTTAAACTGAATACAAAATAGCTATGAATGCCTGAAGTTGCAGAATTTAACATAGAAAGCAAGGGGCTATGAATTAGTGGTGTCATTCCTTAAAAGCCTTGATAAGCAGTTTGTTCGGCTATCCAATGAAGCAGTATTTCCTGGGGTTGTCTCAAGTACACAGGGAAATCACGTGCATCTCACGTGAAATTCATACGAATTTAACCTCAAATGAGCTTATACGTGAAACTCACATGAAATTATTTAAACTCACGTAAATTCATGTGAAACTCAAGTGACTTTTACGTAAAAAATTGTAGGATTTTTTTTTCATGTGAAATTACAAGATAACATCTTAATTTTTAAATCTAATTCAAATCTTGAAGAATACCAACTTTTTTGGTAAAGTTCACGTGAAATTAATATGAAAAAAAAATTGACGTGAGATTCATTTGAAATTCACGTGAGTTTCACGTAAAAGCTCGTTTGAGGTGAATTTCACATGAATTTATTTCTGGGCTTTAGTCGACGATCTTATTCTTATATACCGATTCTGTAAGGAATTAAGGTCTTCTGTGGTGTTATTTAGAATTCATTCAAAACAAGAGTTCAAGTGGTTCTAAAATTTGTCTTATAATTAATGATCTCTGAGCAATTTAATGAAAGTTAAAAACTAAATAGATTTATTCAAACCAGATGCCTGACATACTGAAGCCATTAAACCAACAAAAGTCATAATAAAATTGAAAGATTTTTAATAAAGTAAGTAAATATTCTTTAACACTCCTAGAACAATAGTTTTGCGTTATCCCAATCAGCAACGATGTATACTAACATATTCTGATTTTACATTATCCGAAGGAGCAACGATGTATCCTAACAGAGTCTGATTTTAACAAAATAAAGACAAAATGAGACGCTAACAAAATTAAAAAAAACAACATAAAGTCATAAAACAAGTGGTTTAGTTACACTACAAACCAGTAAAAGTCTGAAATGGCCTATATCTGTACTCGACTGTACTGATTTTTACTAGACCAGTCTGAATTGGTCTGAATTGTACTCGATATTACTCGACCACAATCTTAACCATACTCGACTGTACCGATTTGTACTTGACTCTTATCTTTGTCATTGAAAAAAGTCTGAACTATTACTCGACCAGTCTGAAACAGTCTTAACCCATTCTCGACCTGTACTCGACTAATACTTGACCAGTTTTCGATCTATTTTTTTCAGTCTGAACCATACTCGACCAAAGGTTTGAACAAAACTCGACCAGTCTGAACCATACTTTACCGAATAACCTCTACTTTTTTTAACTGTTAAAATTACTTTCTTTTTAACAGACATGACAACAGCCACAATAAAGTAAAGATATATAAAAACAGATTTTTACATCCTTACATGATTATCCGATTTATAAAATTGAGATAGTCAAATTATCTAATTTTGAAGTCTGAGTCTTGTTAAAAAAAGTTTTCTCTTTCCCGAAAAACATACCTGTACTGAGGGTACTTAAACCTTATATAGGTGCATCTTCTTTGTCATGTGTTTTTTTTAACAAAACTCAATTCACCTAAATTCCTAAATAAAAACTTTCTATGTTTTAGGGGTTTATACAATAGTTGTATAACTATCTTTTAACTGAGGTAACAACAGCCAACACAATCACTGAAATTGTTTAACCTTATAGTCGAAATATATCTATTCTTATTACAATTTGAGATATATACATATATTTATATATAAAACATCTAGATATAAGTCAACGATCTTTCTTACGAGGGCGCTGGATCGTTACGAGTAACGATACATGTACACAATAAATAAATTATATAAACGCCAAAAAAGTGTACAAAACATATTATTCATTTTACATCATAATCATACTGATGAAGGATATCTGTTATCCGAAATATTTATAGATAATTACAATTTTTTTTTTATTGGTGTTGTTTTGTACACTTTTTAGGCGTTTATATATATATTTATATATATAAACAAGTCCAAATTGAAAACAACGTTCAAACCTATGATTGCGTTGGATAAAAATCGCAATTTTTATACGTGTGCATGCAAAACAAATTTCTTGGTAGAGGGGTCTAAATACAGCACAAACAACATTTTCCAAAAGACCAAATGAGTGAAAAAGTATATTTTAACAAAACGCA